TATGATGGGGTCACTAAGGCTGACCATCTCTACCTAGCCTGACTGTTATGATAGGTTCACCAAGGCTGACCATCCCTATCTAGCCTGACTGTTATGATGGGGTCACCAAGGCTGACCATCCCTACCTACCCTCAATCTTAAGTAGGGTCACCAAGGCTGACCATCCCTATCTAGCCTGACTGTTATGATGGGGTCACCAAGGCTGACCATCCCTACCTACCCTCAATCTTAAATAGGGTCACCAAGGCTGACTATCCCTACCTAGCCTGACTGTAGTGATACAGTCACAAGGGCCAACCATGGGCTGACCATCCCTACCTACCTTAACTTTTATGATATGGTCATCAAGGCTGACCATCTCTACCTACCCTACCTACCTAATGATGCGGTCGCCAAGGCTGACCATCCCTACCTACCTTTACTTTTATGATATGGTCATCAAGGCTGACCATCCCTACCTGCCCTACCTAATGATGCAGCCACTAAGGCTGACCATCCTACCTACCCTCACATTAATGATACAGTTTCCAGGGCTTACCATGCCTTCTAATTAATGTCCACTGTAATGATAGGGCCACCATGGCTGACCACCCTTACATATCCTCACTGTAACAATACGGTCACCAGGGCTGATCATCCGTACCTACCCTCACTGATAGGGTCATTTATCAACGTTTACACTGAGAGCTTCTGTCTGGCCATTATTTTGTATGGGTTCTGCCTCTCCATGAGGGATTCTATCTCATCATTTACACTGAGGTATTCTTTCTGACCATTTACACCCAAAGGTTGTCTGGTCGTCAACACAGGGGATTACACTGATGGGTTCTATCAAGCTGTTTATACTGAATCTGGTCATTGATACATTAAGGGATTCACTCTGGACATATATGTTAAGGGATTCTACTTGGCTTTTATACAGAAGGGTTTTAACTGACCATTTAGCTGTTTACACATAGGGATACTCTATGGTTAATTCCAGTAAATTGTGGACTATTTAGTCACTGTTTACTACAACATCACTACTAGAATTACCTGGTAGAGTCCATACAGAAATGGCAACAGTATGAAATAATTGTTTGTAAATCATTTTTTTTTTTGTATAATGTTATATCAGTAGTAGATCAGATGTTCTTGTGTGTGCCAACCTAGTTTAGTTTCCATTTGATAGACTGATAACACGTTTTTACTGTATTTTACCACAAAAAAGCCCCCCCACCCAGTTCAAAAAGACTTGTCAAAAGAGGGGAGGGGGCTTATTTGCAGGCAAAATCATATTGCAATATGGTGAAATTGGTATTTTATACATTGTAGATTTAGTCTTAATAACTGTGAGCATGTTGTTTATTGTTTCTGAATCTTCTAAATCTATGTCCTAATATTATTGGATGTTGCTTGTGTACTAAACAGGAACATAACATTGTCATAGTGTTCATATACTATTCTTGTTATATTAATTTTGTTTATTTTCTTATTCAAAAAAAAAAGATGAATATCATTATACTGATCTTGTGATTAAATCAATGTCAGAACATATGAGAATTTGTTATGTTCAAAATGGTCAGTCAAATTATATAGGATTTTGAACATCACTTGTGTTAAATTGTCATATTTCTCAGTGTATATGTCCAGATATATTTTTATGCTATTATTAATAGTTATTGATATTTTTTGTACAGGAAGATTGATGATAGCTACTTACTGTTAGAAAAAAAAGAGAGATTAAAAAGACTAAATCTACAAATGTATGCCTTGACTGTCTCCACTGTACAAAAATATGATTGCTGTCTCTGTTTAGGGTAACAGTCATCATTGTGTGGCTTGGTATGTGATAACTGCCTTTGTTAACAGTTGGCATACAAAAACACTGTTACATGGCATGGCATATGATAGTCATCTTATTTTGTAAGTTGTGGCATAAGACTGTCTCAAAATGTACATGACATCGTTTTTGATTGGGTCAGAATGGCCATTCCTTTTGTATTGAAAGGTATATGATGGCTAAAGCCTTGTATGGAAAGGCATATGATGGTCATTTCCTTTGTACTGTAAGGCATATAATGGCTAAAGCTCTTTGGGAATGCATATGAAGATCATCCCTGTGCAGGCAAGGAGTATAATGGCTAAAGCCTTGTATGGTACAGCATTGTGATGGTCATGGCTTTTGTAATTTAAGGCATACAATAGCTGAAGCCTTGTACAGGACAGCTCTCTGTTGTCAATATGGCATACATTTTTGTATGATGGCTAAAGCCTTGTATGGGACAGCATTGTGATGATTGTCTCCTTTGTACAGTTAGGCATGACGATGGCTGAAGCATTTTCTGTGTTTTATTGTTGGCATGTTACTAGGCGCATAGACGCATTAAATACAACGCAAATTTCAAGCTGTTTCGTGTCAGTATCATCTTAGCATTAAGAATGTCTGTAGTCATTGTTAGTTGCTTTCATCATTAAAGTGGGAGAAGGCTCTCCCTTTCTTTTAAAATAATTTCAGTCTCTGTTTTTAATTATACACAAAAACAAAGTAAAAAGTGATAGGTCATATACTGCAATACATGATGACCAGCCCAGTTTATTATACCCAGCGAAATGTGTTCGCAGTGGATAGTAATTTGGGTTCTGTGGGTCTGTCCTAGACCTTTTCCTGGCTAAAACTTCAAAACGTTCCGCTCAACTCAACAAAACTTTCTGTATATGTAAGTTCAATGCTCTAGTACTGCCTTTTGTTATTGATGACATTTCATTTTTTTATATTTTTTCTGTTACCTTGGAAACATAGTCAAACAAAAAATTAGTGTCGACTTTCCATTCTGGGCTTCAACTTCAAAACCATTCCACTCAACTCCACGAAACTTTCTGTATATATTAGGTTAGTGCCCTAATTGTGCCTTTTCTTATTGAGGACATTTTATTATTCATCTTTTCTCTGTCAGTCAATTTTTAGCCCACCATCTATTCAAATAGATGGTGGGTTATTCAAATCACCCTGCATCCGTGGTCCGTCCGTCCATCCGTCCGTAAACAATTCTTGTCGACAGGTGGCCATCTTGGATTTGGAAGTAAAAGTTGTACCTCTATTTCTGGAAAAGTACTGGATGGATCTTTCTCAAATTTCATATGCAGGTTCCCCTTGGTCCCTAGTTGTGCATTGTACCTTTTTTGAACTGATTCGAATTCAAGATGGCCGACAGGTGGCCATCTTGGATTTTGGAAGTAAAAGTTTGTTACCGCAATTTCTGAGAAAGTACTGGATGGATCTTCCTCAAATTTCATATGCCGTTTCCCCTTGGTCCCTAGTTGTGCATTGTACCTTTTTTGGACTGATTCGAATTGAAGATGGCCGACAGGCAGCCATCTTGTATTTTGGAAGTAAAAGTTTGTTACTGCTATTTCTTGGAAAGTACTGGATGGATCTTTCTCAAATTCCATATGCAGTTTCCCCTTGGTCCCTAGTTGTGCATTATACCTTTTTTGGACTGATTCGAATTCAAGATGGCAGACAGGTGGCCATCTTGGATTTTGAATGTAAAAGTTTGTTACTGCTATTTCTTGGAAAGTACTGGATGGATCTTTCTCAAATTTCATATGCAGATTCCCTTTGGTTCCAAGTTGTGCATTATACTTTTTTGGACTGATCCGAAATCAAGATGACTGACAGGCAGCAATCTTGGATTTTGAGAGTAAAATCTTGTTACTGCTATATCTGAGGAAGTACTGGATGGATCCTTCTGATATTTCATAGATATTGGTTTCCCTTGGTCCCTAGTTGTGCATTGTACCTTTTTTGGACTGATTTGAAATCAAGGTGGCCTACAGGCAGCCATCTTGGATGTCGACAGTAATACAGCACAAGCATATTGTCCATTATCCACCTGTAACTGACTGCTATCTAATAATACTTTGGGATCTTTTTCAAATGATATTTGCTAATAGGTGCTTAATAAAAATATCTTGTGCCATCATTGAGTACATTCAAAGAAGACCAGTTCATGAACATTTACAACACCTGTAACAAACAAAAAAAAAATAAACAAATCTTCAAGAACTAAAAACAGATCCTCAAATGGTGGGCGCCAAGATCCCTCTGGGATCTCTTGTTTATTTCTTCTGATTTCTATACTTACTCCAGAGCTGAAAGAGAGTTGCGTAAATATGTTCATGGACTATACCAAGCTATTCAAATATCAACAGTCAAACCAAAGGATCTACATGATTATTATTATTACATTCTTAACATCCTGTCAACACATAAAAGGTCATTCAGGCTATCAACCGGTGAAAGACCGCAATCCAAAAGGAAATTACATTAAATGAACTAAAAAGTAAAAGACAAATGCTAAAAATCTTAAAATGTTATATGGTGGATATTATCTAGTACATGGAACATTCAACTAATATTTCTGCATCCAACCCACTTATCTGTTGTGGATGTCATTTGATTGTGTACTTAGTATTATGTCACTTACTTCAGTTTTGTTGATACTGTCGCTAAGCTAGGCACTGTAATTTATCATTACACCTGAATAATTATATTTCAATTTTGTTCTGATGTCCACATACCTAAGTATCAAAACTTGTCAACATCCTTGAAATAAGTCGATCAACCCAGCCAGACACTGTCATGATCATCTTTGCCTATTGAAAGTTTCTGGTTAGTATCTTTAACATTTTACTGCAGAAAAATCAACGTTGATTATTTTGCCCACTTCCATGGTAACCAAGAAATAATTTACAATGAGAACTTCTCCATAGCAAAAGGCACTACCAGAATGCAAACTTGATAGTTGTACAAAGTTTCAGGTTGTTATTTTGAATGGTTTTGGAGCTCCACACAATTGAAATTTGTAATTAGCCTATCTGTTGTTATCAAAAAAGTATTTAAATTGCACAACTACAGTTCTAGTTTGATAACTGTAATTATCTCGAACAGTTTCAGAACTCTGGTCAGGAAATGCTGACTCTATATGCACTGTCACAAAGACTAAAAGAAAAGATGATCACACAAAATTGTTTATTCATAAGTTAATAAAAACCGGCAAATGCATTCAATGTTATTTGAACCATCACATAACACATGTAGAAACACCACTTCCAGTATGGTCCAGGCAGAATCTTACAAAGGTGACCAATACCTTGCTGATCTGTAAGGCACCATTGGGATGTAAGTTTAAAGTCTTACAAACATCTCTAGACTTCCACATCTGGTTTAATAGGAAGATATAAACACCTCAATCAGATTTGAAGTATGAGCTTTACTGATTCCCCAACCTAACACTATTCAATATTTTAAACAAAACATGGCAAAATTACCTTGTGTAATATAGTATATATACCCAAATTGTATAAGTGGTTGAGTTGTCCTCTGAAATTCTAAGGAAAACATGCTCACTCCATACCAATTTAAATGAATTTTGATGTGGCCTTACAAATCATCAGGCAAAATTCCTGCTGGGAATTTGTGTTATAGTCCATTTCAGTACTTGTAAAACCAGATATTGTATTTTTCTGGATTATTAGCTGTAGAAAATTAAAAGGATGGAAAAGAAATAAAAATAGGAAGCATACCATTACGAAACAGATCTAGTTTTTTATGAGTACCTGGCCATCACGTGTTTGTGACAGAAACAGATTCTTTAGAACCATTATTTGTATGCAGGATGATTTTAAAGATTGAAATATAAAAAACATTCTCATGGACTTAATTAATCATATCTTTAAATATGAATAACAATAATATCTTCTGGACTTTTTCGGTTACTTCGAAGCCATAGTTTACAACAGCATTTTGCATCCTGGGATAGATAGATCATTGGGTTATAGGTCAAATTCTAGACCGACCACCATGATTGTTTATGATATAAAAGGCTTCATGTAGAAGAAATAATATGGGACTATTAGAATTTGGTCAGCATGCAAGGGCCTTAATTAATACATAACAGTACTGACACCGATGGAGAGATTGTTTAGTAAACTGCACATAACATCAGGCCCTTTATCTGTGTGTAGACAATCTGTGAAGGAACCCTTGCCAAGCTATTTTGATATTTGCTATTTGACATGTTTTGAAATACATCAACAAAATAAAGGTTATTCATTTGTAAACTTTACTAAATGCTTCACTGATAATTTTGATAAATTGCCCTCCATTGTCGGTTATATCAAAGAACTTTGGTCAACGTAACGGTTACCACTTCGTAAGAAAGGGTACAGCTTATACGTGGATCAAATCGTAAAAATCGGCTTATATACTGGTTTGACTTATAACCCAGAAAATACAAGATATAAAACAGTTATTAAGATATAATAGAAACCTCCATTATGCTGAGTTTCAGTACTTCAGATAAAACAGGGGCTACAGAGACCCAATTCAGTGGACAACACACTGTCTGTTCATGATTCACTTTCTGAATCCTATGTATCCCTAACTTTGTCTGAGAGGTGAGGAGGAGGTTGAATAAAAGAAGTACCTGTAAACCCATAAGAAGTAAACTATAAATAAAATGGCCATCTCATACCTAAGATTTTGTCTCACCAATATTTTTTGACAAACTCTAAGTACAAAAATGTATTAATAAAGAAAATTACTCTCCATTTATTACATAAGTAATTATGTTACAAAATAGCATATCGAATTGTATCCTTGAAAAATCCTTTTTCTTGTCCATTCCCACACTTGTTTATCATTCATTCATTGCTGTGTTAACTCATGCACGTCATTGTTTATGTAAATACTCCACTATGCTGGCCCTCCTCTCTGTAATAAAGACAAATCTTACTTATAATCACTAGTAATGTTAAAAGTGAGAAAACAGTACCTGATAAGACTAAAAACATGTATTAATTGCACTACTTGAACACAGAATGGTAGTACAATGTACCTGTGTAATTAAATATAAGATTTCTACACAAAATCTTGATGTGAAAACAACTATTTTTGAACTTTTAACTTTTTTAATATAAGTCAATAATTATACCTTCATTTTGTATGTATAGCCAGAATTAAAAATTGTTTGATTAGTAAGATAAAAAAATCAAAGCTTTATATTCATAAAAAGTGCATGCCCAAAGTTTCGACAAGGGGCTCATTTGAACAAATAAAATCAATTTTTGTTTTTGAACTACGACCAATGAAATGTATGCCTTACCTGTATATATTCCATTTCTTCTTGTGTTAATGGTTTCCTGTGGTAACGACTGGGGAGTTCAATGTATTCTATACCAGAGCCTTTCAGTGTACTGCCTACTAATTTACTGTCTGGTGCTGCTGCTGTGGAAGAACTGGTTGCTTCTCTGGGCTTTAGTAATGCATCTGCCAAAACTAAATAATCATCCAGTAATTCGCACAATGTAAACTAAACATACAAACAATGAAAATGATAAATATATCAATGATTAATATGTACTCATGTTATAATATATATAACATAATAAATTATATATTGTATGATGTCATTTTCACCACCATCACACTGGTGTATTACAGTTTATACAGATTTGCAAAAAAATGCTAAGAAAAAAAAAGCAATCTCACTGGGTTTTTTTAACTGAACGCTCCTCCTCTTGACGAAAGAGAAATTCCTATTTTTCGAGACTAGTAAAGTGATCTGTACTCTATTCTTCTACCCTACTACCTCCTTCACAAAGTCCTTCCCAGAAGACAACTACAACCCAGTTTTCATCTCAAAGAAAATATCTTAATTACCTATCTATGCATGGTCAACCACACCAAATAGATAACAGGATTGAGTAAATGTGTTGTCCCTACTTGCACTTGAACTAATGACCTCTCCCCCTCTTGCTGCACAATATAAAGGTGAATTTACTCTTTACTTTAGTTTATTATGGTATACTGAGACTCTTAGGCATCATCACACTGGTACCATGTCACAGGTGTATCACAGAATAAAAAACTTACCAGTACCTCCATTTGATGCTCCGTATCGAAACTTAATTGATGGTATATGAGGTCTAACTGCATTCTACAATGAAAAAATCATTTGAAGTCGAAATATGGACACAACATTATAACAACTCTAAATTACACACTGAAACCACAGAAACCAAATGGTCTGAGAGGGTACTAGCCTATAGTTTAAGAAGTAGAACCTTGAATAGCTATTCTTGTTTTTTTTTTCCGTGCAGGAGCAGAGCAACCTTACTTCTACTATCTATCTCTAGGATATCTACATATTATTACAACTTTCCTTCCAAAAAAAATGTTAGTTGATGATTTAATATTCAGAAATAAAGTCTTCTAATTTGTCTTGCAATTTCAAATAATCACTTTTGAATAAAATTGCATTCGTGAAAGCTGGCTAATTACTCCCATTGTAAAACTAACTCAGAAATACTCATATTGGAATAAACTGCCAGCAGATTTGGTAGTATTCTTATAATGACTGTCATGTTATGTTGAAAAGATGATGTCCTTTTTTTTTAAAAAAAAAGAACTTGTGTTTCTATTTCAAAATGATCCTTGCATTTGCGTAACTTATTGATTATTCAAAGCAGTAACTATCCTTCATATGCAGGATTACTACACATATGTATTTCCACATTTTAACATTGATCCACTTAAAACCGGAAAATTATAATAAACAAAAACGATACGGAGACTAAACGACTATTGTTACTGTGCCCAACCTGTATACTGTTGTACTGGGTTAACATATTGTTTGGGATATATTCTGTCGTATGTAGCTTTCATATATTGTTTATATCGTATGTGACGTCATTTAAACATTTTCCCATTAATCCACCTTATACTTAACACCAAAAAATATTAGAATCATTCAAAATGCTACGGAGAATATACAAAAATACGGTTTCGTACTATCAGTGTCCTTGCCGGGGCAGCCATTTTGAAACAGACGACAAAAATGTAGGAAAGCTATACCACAAGGGAGGTAAATACCACTGTAGTCATTATTTCCCGCGGAATGTCAAATCGGGCCTTAAGACTCGAGACTCGCCAGTATATGGTGCCGTTTTAGTATTTATCTACAAAGTATGATATCGCGAACTCATTTATTGATATCATTAATTCAACTTATTGATATAAGACCTATTTATTAGGGGTATCACTTATTCGCGGAATTAGTGATTAATACAGAGACGTATAAAACACGTCTCTGTTAATAGTGATTTATTATACGAATTTACTGATACCATGAAATCGAATCATTGATAATCATTAAATGAATTATTAACATCACAAGATATTAAGAATTATTGATGTCATTAATTCGAGTTATTGCTATTAATAATTCAAATTAATGATACCATCTTCAAAATGTGGTATCAATGATTCATTTAATGATACCAATAATACGATTTGATGATATCAATTAATATTTAATGATATCACTTCTTACAGTTATTGATATCATTAAATGAATTATTGATACCACATTTTGAAGATAAATACCAACGACAACGTCAGAAGCATAATAAAACCTGCAGGTCCATATGTGATTCATACACGACATGTTAGACGTCAAAATTGGTAATGGTATAGTATCAAACTTATGATGTAGATATAAGTCCGTAAGTTATCGAAATATGTCAACGTTTTGATTGATTAGTCCCACGGTGCCCGGATGAGGGACTAGCCGTTTTGCGCTGTATGTCCTTCCAGACAATTCTCCTACACTAATTTTCACTGTAACTTCATACTTAGGGCATGGTTTTACCTAAAGGAGTGTAAATGTAGAAGGTCACTTTGACCTACTTTCTAACCATTGACCTACATCAAAGAAACAAAATTATCTGAGCTCATCACACCTAGTTATGCCCATTTCCGAAATATGAAGTTTCCGTGATAAGTTCTATAGGAAATGAAGACCGGACAAACGTTTTCTTCTCACTGGAACATCATACACTGAACAGCTGATTACTTTCAGAGGGCGTGTGTCCAAATTTTATCACTCTGACTGTGAGTTATATCAAGCAATGTTTGCCCGGACTCTGTCTCCTCACTAATAGTCTCTACACGGAATACCACACACAGGTCAATAATTCGACCAACATTTCTAACTTGACATTCAACCTAAGCGAAAAAATTTGGTGTCACATTTAGCAAGTAAGATTGTTCACACAACCGCTCTCTCCACTAATTGTATCAACCCGTGCCCCACGGACCGGCTAACAGAAGCGAGTCTCATTTTTCGTAAAATAATAATAATAATAATTTAAATGAATACTCAGCCAGTGACGTATATAATATAGCACGGGCTTAGAATAAGTCCGTGAATAGTAATACTTTTGATTACGAAATGATTTTCATCACGTGTCGGGTCACAATTGGTATACAATACAGAGTAGTATTTCTGAGTAAAGTTGGCATATCTCGTTTGAAAATTATTCAGCTTTCTACTAGATTGTTTTGGAAAAAAATAAACTTTTAGTTGGGGCATGGCTGCTTAACTTACATTTATTTGCTACAATTTTACAAAGCGATATATACAGTCGTCTATCCTTACACATATTACGGTTCATCCTTGGTCAGAGACTTGTAAGAAAACATCTGTCTAAACGTCTCTGCGTTAGCTATATCAGAGACATATATAACGTCTCTGGCTATATACATATAGTGTATTAGATATTTAAAAACAAATCTCCACAAGTCAGCTTATGTTGCCAGTGTAGATGACTGCGTTTATATTTATAATTCAATTACTTGAGTTGTATTGCCTCCAGCATACATCGGGAATACATAGTCCAAATGGAATTAACACAAAAACATCAAGAGTTATCCCATTAGTCGTCAATGAGCTTTGAAGTACCGACAGACGGCGTTGTTTTAAGGTCAAAGGGCGTTCCCTTCTGAACTTGTGTACGAGGATGTGGGTTTCAATTTCTCCATGTGTGACGTGTGGGTGAGTGTTTCCTTGCCATATTGTAACTTGGATATAAGTCAGGACTTAAAAATGATGAGATAGCGAGAAATGTGTCATATTGATTGGAGAAGTGACCGGGTAAAGCGTCGCCGATAAACCAAAAAGTAAGAAAGTAGAACTTCCGGGGAAGGAAATAAAAACCATGACGAACCGTTATACACAAACACAGTCATGGAGGCCTGTTAAAAAGTTTCCATATTTTTGTGACTTTAGGACTATAGCATGTTGTATATTTATCACAATAATAGTATCTAGTCAGCTTGCATCGGGTGTATACTTGAACGAAATCGCCGTCCATGTCCCGGGGGGAAGATCTGTCGTCGATCGTATAGCAGAGAGACACGGATACATCAACCAAGGACAGGTGAGATGCTTATTATTGTTTTATCATAACTCAATTGACCCTTTTCATCCCATTCTCTGAAAATTTGTGTCAACTCTAATGTTTATGTTCTCTTATGTAATTGATAAAGCTCCCAATGTTGTGTTAAAGGTCCCTGATTGCAATGGTTGTAATGAAAGCAAATGCTGATGATATATTATATGTGTGTGTGTGTGTATATATATATATATATATATGTTTTATTGTGATGCACGTGTAACTTTCACTGCAGAATGTTTGATCAGGCACTTTTTTCGCAGGAGGATGAGCTTAATTCCATTTGCTTAAACATTTTCAGATTAGATAAATGTATGGCTAAATTGCTCATGTGGAGGTTTGATTGTAACTGGTTACTTCACAGTAGTGACATACATTTTTTTGATGAAAATACCATATAAGAATAACTTTGATTATGTAGTAACAGAATGTTATTGACATAATTAATTGGCCATGGTAGCAAATGTCAAAATTTGTAACTTACAACCTGGATCAAACCAAGAAATTTATAGTATTTAACATGTGCAATAAACAGATGCCATTGTTAAGGTTGGTGCCAGTACTTTGAAATTTTAGGATGGTGTTAAGATAATTAGATAAAGATATTTACTTAAAATTAAAAGGAAACTAACTGCTAAAATGTTTTTATCATATTTTCTTGTTCAACTCTCACAAATGAAATTTACGCACAACAGAACTAGTTAGTAAAATTTATTAAAATAAAAAAAAATATCTCGGCCGTAAATCTTCTACTGAAACTTTACACTTCTGCATGAACTATTTTGGCATGATAGCATTTTCATGACCATTGACTACATTTGGAAATGGTTGGTACAAAAGCATTTTCATGACCATTGACTACATTTGGAAATGGTTGGTACAATATAGGTTTTACATCTGTCTTGTATTGATATTAATTTGATTTGAAAAACTAAACATGAGAACTTGTAAATAATTATGAATGATTTAGTACATATACTCTAGCTTTTATAGTGATATGTGATCTTTCTATTATTTGCTGAAGCACTTTTCCAATTTTGGAGACATTTTTACAGAAAATCATACATTGTAACATTAATTAAGATATTCTGTTCGTAATTATAAATCTGTTTGAAGAATGTTCACTATTAGAGCTCTACAACTGTGTCAGTGAACCTATTATTTATCATTGTCTAGATTCATTATTAGAGCTCTACAAATGTGTCTGTAAACCTATTATTTATCATTGTCTAGATTCATTATTAGAGCTCTACAAATGTGTCTGTAAACCTATTATTTATCATTGTCTAGATTCATTATTAGAGCTCTACAAATGTGTCTGTAAACCTATTATTTATCATTGTCTAGATTCATTATTAGAGCTCTACAAATGTGTCTGTAAACCTATTATTTATCATTGTCTAGATTCATTATTAGAGCTCTACAAATGTGTCTGTAAACCTATTATTTATCATTGTCTAGATTCATTATTAGAGCTCTACAAATGTGTCTGTAAACCTATCATTTATCATTGTCTAGATTCACTATTAGAGCTCTACAAATGTGTCTGTAAACCTATTATTTATCATTGTTTAGATTCATCTGCATTTCATGTTCACATTGGTATGAACTGACATCAGCAATAGTGTGCTAGATATCAGTTTTGTGCATAATTGCTGAATACAGTATGTAAACACATTACATAATACTTTTCTTGAGTAATACTTTTCTGGAATGGTATTAACATTTAAAGATTAATTCTATTTTTAGGGAACAAATTCTTCGGGGTGTACATGTGATGTTAAGAATGTTACAGGGAGTGTACCAACAAATGATGCATGCAATACTGATACCTCTTAAATCTAACTTTTTTTGAAATGGGATAAGTAGTGGAATTTTGACATTATGTGGGTTTAGATGGATTATGTCACATGATACCGGGTATGCTGTCACTGAAGTAGTGGTTATGTCAGCAGAAATCTGATACTGTGTGGTAGTCACACAGGTTAGGTCAGTACCTTAGCTTCTGGAGATAACAATAGTTGTAGATGATACCTAGACAGATTAAAAAAGTGGTGGAGGAGTGTGGCTTATTGTTTACAGGTGATGTGGAGGAGTGTAAAAGGTATTGGTGGAGGAGTGTGGCTCATTGTTTACAGATCAGTATGAGTGTAAAAGGTATTGGTGGAGGAGTGTGGCTCATTGTTTACAGGTGATAAGTATGAGTGTAAAAGGTATTGGTGGAGGAGTGTAGGCTGTCATTTACTTCTCAATAACCTGTACAGGTAATTCTGAGATCTATTGGTCTTCATACAATAACAAGTTGTTTCGTGTTTCTCATGAAAATCATTACTCATGCACCAATGACCTAGTCACAACTGATAATGTACTGTCACAATTTTCTGACACGAAACTACTTGTGCAAAATAATAAACTACACTGTCAAAATATCCCTATCTAATACACATATTTTATCATGGCGTTAAGAATTCATCATTTTTGTAAGATTTTTCAAGGGAGTCAAGAACACCATTTCCAAAATGATATAATGGTTTTCAGGAATTGAGTCCCACAGGAACATGAGGAATTCAGAAATATCCTAGTCCCATAAATCACTTGAATCCTGTGATAACTATTGATCTTCACAATTTCAGAAATGATCTATAATTGATTCTAAGTTGATTAATCATGAATTAGAAGGGAAATCAACAAACCTGCTGGCAGAATAAAAACATATATATGAAAAACTACATAGACACTGTACAATTATGATGAGTATATATATGAAACTTTGATATCAGTATATGTTTTATACTGTATATGGTGTGTTATGTTTGGTTATTGATATTTAAATGTAGAAAAACAACCGACAAATTAGGAAGACCTCAATGGTTCAAACTTAAAATCTGTGGCACAAAATCTCCTCGCTAAGAAAATCTTATCACTGCGACAACATACATAGAGTCATGGCATTAGGCAACTTGTTGATAACATGATATTACACTTAACTTAATCGTTTGTATGCTTATTGATAAACAAGTGCACTGAAAAGTTTTGTGGTTTTAGTTGAGCTGGACATATGTTACAACTCATTTTTAAGGTTTAATTTTTCAAAATTTCACATCGTATAAAGTTGTAAATTTACAAGATGCATTTTATTGGAAAGATAAAACCAAAACGGGCAATGATATATAACCCCTACAAAGCTGGTGGAATGTTTTGTAGGTAGTATGAACAACCATTTTATCTGGACTAACAAAGCAGATTTAACACCATATGCTTGTGTTAGAGAAACCTGATAATTTAATTCATTGTACCTCTCATGTTCCCTCCTGGCACACTGTAAACCCTCATTTTAAAGTCGTGTGTTGTGCTATACTCATGTGAAGCTTGTCCTATATATCTGTCCTTCATTTGTCTGATACCTTTGTCTGACATACATATGTCTTGATCCATTACCCTTGTCCTACATATCCTATACTCCAGTCTTACTTATCCTAACCCAATTCATAAATAACCTTTACTACACTTTTACATATCCTATAATTCTGCCTTACATATCCTAAACCTTAGTTCTACAAGTCCTATACCCTAGTCTTACAAGTCTTTCATCCCTTTCATATATATCTTATACTCCAGTCTTACATGTTTGATACACCTGTCCTGTATGTCCTATACCTCTGTCATAAATAACTTTAGCTCTTCTCTTACATGTCCTGTAATCCTGTCATATATATCCTATAATTCTATCTTACGTATCCTTTACCTCAGTCCTACATGTCCTATACCCTAGTCTTACAGGTCCTATGCCCCTTTTATGTATATCCTATTCTCCTGTCTTACATGTCCTATCTTTACTGTATACTCCTATTCTCTATGTCCTATACCCATCTTGTATATCCTATACATTCACCCTTCATGTCCTTTACCCCTCAATATGTACTATACCACATTATTACCTGTCCTATATTCCTGTCCTATATTCCCGATTCTACTGTCCTAATATAACCTAAATCCTTTACCCCAGTCTTACAAATCCTATATACCTTTTATGTATATCCTATTCTCCTGTCTTACCTGTCCTATGTTCCTGTCCTATACCACTGTCCTAATATAAGTCCTGTGTCCCAGCTTTACATGTCCTATACTACTGTCCTATATGCTATATACTCCTGTCATATATGTATATGTCCTAAACATTGTGTTACATGTCCTATGTGGATACTCCAATCCTGCATGCCTTGGTTTATTTAAACCTTGTCTAGAACTCTTCAGTTGAGGGATCTGCACTCCTACAGACTAACTAATGAAGTAAAGTTTCTGTTGTAACTCAAGCTTGTCAAAGATAGTGTGTACAGCGGTCCTTGTACCTAAACACCTCCAAACTTCCAAGCATCATGGCTTCTCAGAATCTGGCCGATTGCTCCAACTTACAAATTAAATCACTGAGATTTTTTTACAACAAATCATAGACATTTTAATATGAATATTCAGTAAGTTAACTTTAATTATGAAGAGGTACATTAAATGTCAAATATTTCATATATATTGAAAATATATCAATGAATATTTTACAAAAAATATTGAGGTTTAAATATGTATGATTATGTTTTAAAATGATTGTGGGATTACAATACTTAGAAGGATCTGGAGATCATTATTGTAGGAAATCTGGAATCTTTAACTTGTGATAAAATAGAAGTTCTGTCACATATCTGGGTGTGTTTTATAATTTATTGTCCTGCAACACAACTTTGTGGTGTTCTGTTTTATTCAATGATATAGTTATCGAAGGCCTCCTCTTCAGACCACATGCATGAAACGTGATCTTATGTCATTTGCTTGTCAGTGTAGATATGTGGATTTTATTAGTGGATATTTGGAATCTGTACATGAGTATGATTAAGTATACGTGTATCAATCTCGCAGTATAATAAAAGTAAATTACATCAGTTTTCTGTGTAGCATCAAGTTAGATTGAAAGGATTCAGTGACTGCTCAATGTTGGTTACAGTCCTAACCTGTCCAAAGCATGCTCATAATGTTGTCTATAGCATATAGCAATCAGTCAAAGTTATTATATAGTAACAGTCATACCTGTCTATATCAACCACTCAGTGCTAACTATAGATACTGTCAAACTTGTCTTTAGAGACCACTAAATGTTATTTCAAATAGGTTGATTCTGTATATTGCAACCAGGCTAGGGGAGCACTTGAAATTGATTGTTAATTGCAGACAAGTGGTCTTGGTTGTATAAAGAGGCTGTCTGGATTTCTGACTGTAAATAATTCCCATTAATTTTGACAGAAATTTAGGATCTTCAGGTATAAACTTGATGATAATATTAACACTTTAAAATACAAACTAAATAGTCCACACCACACCATTATATTTGTAAATAAGAAATAAACATTTGATTTGTCATTTAATGTGTTTTATTGATTAGATAAACCCCCCAAAATATTTGACTCAAGATTAGGGGTCATATTTATCATCTACATAGACATAGTCATTGTCCGTATCTACAGTCGTAACATTGTACATACTCCATTGTTTACTCTGGAGTATATGCAGACATCTTATAGCCTTGTCCTATAACTCAAATTGTTCATGCACAGTTCAAGTCTAGATTTTAATATCCTACTGGAACTTTTCTGATAATTACTGGCAACTTCCTGGTTTAAACTTAGAAAGATGATTAAGTGTTGTAAGAAGACCCACAATATTTTGTTATAGATTATCTGCTATGTTGTATTCCAGGAATGTTAACACTATGTGGTTTTCATTATCCTAAAACGATAATTGACAAGATCATTGCAAAAAAGGCTTTAGGTATACTGTATTGTTATAACAATTATTATTGTTTATTATTAAATATTTACAAGGAATAATCCTAGTGTCATAGATATGGCCTTTTGAACACAATGCACGTCATTCATTTGTCACTGGAATAAATCACATAAATACATGTATAATATATATACTCCTTATGTACGTCTGTAGACACAGGTAAATATCACAGGTACTACATACAATTGAGGTAACTAAGTCAGAGGCACCAAGTACAAATCTCATTGAGGTTTTGATGTTTGTCAGGGGCAGTTTATACAACTTTGGAACACCTGATTTTATATAGGCTGTGGTGTCTCAGTTCATTAACCCACACACACCTGGACATAAGCAATGATCATTCTCATACTGTAAAATATTTAATTTTGATGGGTTTATATATTCATTAATTTGTTGACTTTCTTAGTCCAAGTTGGTAGACTTGTATGTCCATGAAATGATGAAATGGTAACGACTAATGATAATTAAGTACGAGTGGATTTCACAAACAAAAATTACAGTAAACCTTCAATTTCATAATGTTTGATAACATGGCTAAGAAACCAGCCCGTAAAGAGTTCATTTCTGCTGATGTATTGACAAAAGTTAGCATTGACATATCGTTATGCGGAGTGTGGATTAAGACTTAATATGACTACAGATTATTGTTTGTTAAAATATTTATGAATCTTGAAGCTATTGAGATAGTCTTTACATTAATATCTTGTTAAATGGGAAGTGATATGATAAATGTTGTCCTTTGACAAAACAAGTGCGGACATCTAATGGTCTGTATGTATTTTACCAATCACTTAGCTTGTGATGCAGAGTTGGGGCCTTCAGTTTTGTCAGCTGGGGCATGCACACTTAAACAGCAAGATATGAAAGAAGTGACACTGACATCAATGTTAATGTATATGTATAATCTGACCCTATCAATTGCTTACAATGGTCGTTAAAAATTCAGCCTACTACCCACAGTGTAACATCCATGTGAATAGTGACCACATGGAGCGATTATTGTTACTCCAGTGCCTTTACTAATACATACTGTCTGCAACATGTTCTAAAAATTTGAAACTTAAGTGAAACAAACTAGAAAGGGTTCAAACTATCACTAGACAGAAAATTATTGTTTTTATTAAAAAAAAATGATGCGTTCAAACTACTTGCCTTTTCAAACTGATTTAGTTTTACTGTATCCACAAAATCAACTGTCATGTGATAGACATCGTCTATGACACTGCAGTTTCCTATCAGTGATGTTGGAAATGTACTTAACTAAGGTACATCTTGTGTAAACACTATCTATATACGCTGGTAATCTGTATACTTCACGCCTAATTAAGAGTTTAGAATTTCCCATCATTTGAGATCTGCTTGTTATTTTGAGTGTCTTGACTGTTGTATTCTAGTCATAACAGTAACTTTTATACTACTCTAGAGTAATAATCTGTATTCCATTTAAATAGTTTCCTGGAAGGAATGCACCTTTGTTCATTATTTTTTGTGTTAATTATTACATGATTAACTAATGGTAGCCTAGCATGATGTTGAAATATTTTGTTATTTTTTGTTGTAGATTGGAAAACTGAAGGATTATTATTTACTAGTAATTCCTCATATACACAAGAGATCCACTAGTCCTAGTCATGCTCATCATGCACGTCTTTCACAGGAGCCAGAGGTAAGATGGATGTCACTAACAAGCATATAATACTGTGATCCTTCTTCATTGATTTATCATTAATCTTGTACACTTTTACAAATCAGGAGGGTGGCATGCTGGTATCCGACTTCTGAATCTGTCATACCTATCAGAATCTGTATGTCCATGTTGTGCTGTTATATAATGTATTGTTGCTTCTCCAACAAGGTTGTTTAAAGTACCTTTATCTAATTAGGTATTATAATTGTTTCTTAAAGGAGACATTCAATGTCTCAAAGCTACCTGGTGATTTCTTAAACAAGACAAGTGTTTTCAACTTTCATGGCCACAGATCCACCGGGATTACCTTTTAGATTTCCAGTCAATCTGTATGAGACTTACACACATATATATATGTATATATATGGCTTTATTATGTGTTAGTGTTGAAAATCAGAGAGAAAAAGATCACAATTGATTATTGGAGAGCTGCCTTTAAACGATGGATTGAAAATATCTAAAAGTTTTTTGAAGCACATGTATAATAAATATCAATAGTATTTGTGAAATATTACATCAATCAAAGGAATGGAAATCTATTTCTCTGAATATTGGTTTCTATGTAGTCTCATTCTCAGTGTCAAGATCTGCCTTGTTTATATTCATTTCCTGCTGGTTCCCATAGACTGTTTTTTTATTTCCTTTACAGTCATTTGTCTAAACAGGAGTTCAGTTGTGCCACAAATTCTGAATCGTTATTCACATTAACTGCTTTGGAAATCAAAATGTATTACACATCTAAAAAACTATAATCAAATAAGTGTTTATATGATAATGCAAATTTTTATGTTAATAGCCGTAGGGACTAAACCACAGCTGTTGTGAGTACATGATGGTTAGATGATGTGACCACATGGGAACATTGTACAAGGTTTACTTGCTGAATTATACATTGTTTAATGTCCAGTTAATGCTCTTATTTAATTTGATTCATGAAAAAAAATAAATTGAGCTATTTACCATCAAAAATATTTCTTTTTTTTCTGAAAATAATGTTTTAGTTACAAAATTATGTTTTGAAAAATATCTATGTTTTGACTTGTGGTAACCAAGTGGTGGCATTGATGTAGAATAGTGAATTGGCAACAGATGTTGAACAAATAGAACTTATAAATATGTTGTATAAACCTTATGAATGATTTCCATGGAACATGCATCACGGACAAGGTTAGGTAAGGACCAGTTAGGACTCTAGAGTTTGGAGTTTAGCTGGAACATTTTCACATACACATATACCTACTTTCTCTGTTTTTTTATCTTCCTTTTTTTTGCATTAAACTGATGAAAACATAAATCGTATACCAAAAGTGATTTCTTAGCACACAGATTCATATGGTTTTTTTATAAAATGTTTTACCAGTGTGTTACCCTCAGCCTCCGGATACAATAGAGAAATAACAATTAACTCTTGTCTTCGGTTCTAAACTGTATTAAGACTGGAAGGTACGAGTAGACGTGTGCCTAGCTCGGAGGTTTACATTGGACTGACTAAAACATGCATGATACAGACAATTTACAGATACAATCAAACAGATGAAAGTAATAATTATCAGAGATGAAGATAAGAGTGAAGGAATTCTAAAGTCTGTTTAAACTCTTGAAACTCCAGCAGGGGTCATTAATTGACCTTATCTGGCACACTACAACATTAACTGGTCATCGGCTGGTCACTACGCCTAGTGTCCTGACAGTATGAAATTTATATGACACGGTACTGGCTAACATCAGACACCCTAAAATTGTTCGATGAGCCGGAACACTAATTAAACTCGCCACTCACTTGGTGTCATTATTTCACTCTTAACACCTCCCCCCTTAAGATAAATTTCACGGGTTAATGTTGTCTGGAACACATAATCCACAGAGTGACTTTATAATAATCAATCTATCACTACAACTGTTCGTGTCCAAGTTCATGTCCTTAGTCTCTGCACTGAGATTTAATCCTGTTGGAATTTGCTATTTCTTTACTGCACAGAATATTAACAGAAACAAGTTACAAAATGATTTTAAAAGTTTCATTCTTCTCTTTGCCTTTACTCGATGCGCGATAGCCCATCAGCGTTTGCATTGTTTGAGCCTTTTCGATAGTTAATGTCAAAACAATAGGGCTGTAATGCTAAGGCCCATCGCATCAGTCTCTGGTTTTTCAGTTTGGTTTTCTCCAGCCAAACTAATGGGTTGTGATCAGTCTCAACCGTGAACTGAACACCATTCAGATAATATCCAAATGTCTCAATACTCCACACAATGGCTAAACATTCCTTCTCTACTGTCGAATAGTTAATTTCACGTGGGAGTAGTTTTCGACTCGTGTACGCGACTGGGTACTCATCACCGTCAACCTTTTGGCTCAGAACTCCACCTATAGCTGTGTTACTCGCGTCCGTTTGTAGATAGAAATGCTTTTCAAAGTCAGGGTTGATTAACACTGGAGCTTGTGTCATTGCATCCTTCAGAGCCCTGAACGCGTTCACTCTATTTTCGGTCCATACAACTTTTGTAGGTTTTTTTGATTTTAACATATCGGTCAATGGTTCCGCGATTCGTGCAAAGTCTTTCACAAATTTACGATAATATCCTGTCATTCCGAGGAATGATCTTACTCCCTTTTTGGACTGAGGGAGTGGAAAATCAGTCATGACTTTTATTTTCAGGTCATCAGGCTTGACAGATCCATGGCCCATTTTGTTACAATTATAACACCTGACATTCTTCATTGGCTCATCAGAAAAGTTCTTTTTCGATTCCGTCTTTGATGTTTCTACGGAAGCTTGACTAACCTGTGTTTTGGTTTTTGTTGTACTCCTCTCCGGAAAAATATAATCCTCTGCTGCATCCACAACAGTTCCAGATCCTTTGTTCCTGCGGATCCATTGTGCCTGTGACACTGGAAGAGCACTGAGGAAAAATTCCTCTTCTATTTTCCCAAGAACATCTTCACTGTCATCAATGAAACGTATGACATATTGTTTCACTCTTGCCATAAGTCCACGATATGTATCTTTTTGATGTTTTTGGACATCCAATAGCATTTTGAAGTATTGATATGGCTTTTTCCCATACCTTTCTATCAAAGCCTTTGACAGATCTTCATATGATTTGTGGGCTTGAGCTGAAACTTTACGAGCTTCTCCTGTTAGTAGACTTCTTAATTGAAGCATTTTCATTTCCAGAGTCCAGCCAGCTTGTGATGATAATGCTTCAAACTCAGCGAGATAGGATATAATGTCCTCGCCTGAAGCATGATCATAAGGCTGTAGTTTCACTCTACATGGCACAGCACTTGCATTGTTTTTGTTTTCCAGCTTCAGTTTCTCAACTTCAAGTTCCATCATTTTAAGCTTTAGCTCAGCGTCCTTCCTTTCTTTTTCAGCTTCCATCCTTTCTTTTTCAAGTTTAAGTTCAGCTTCCATTTTCTCTTTTTCAGCTTTAAGTTCAGCTTCCATTTTCTCTTTTTCAGCTTTAAGTTCAGCTTCCCTTCTTTCCTTTTCAGCTTCCCTTTCAGAACGTAAGTTTCTTTCTTGAGCCTCACGCTGAAGTTTTTCACGTTCTAACTGAATCTTCTCCTTTTCTACTTCTGCTTGGAGCTCTAACTTTCTGATTTCTACTTTTGACTGAGCAGCCGATAACTTCTGGGCTGCGTCGGCAGTCTCTCCGTCTCCTGTGCCTGTCGGCATTTTCAGTCTCTTTCAAGTTTGTTATGTAACGGAGTCCCACACTTGATAGAGAATCTTTCACCGCTGCCACCAGTTGTTACCCTCAGCCTCCGGATACAATAGAGAAATAACAATTAACTCTTGTCTTCGGTTCTAAACTGTATTAAGACTGGAAGGTACGAGTAGACGTGTGCCTAGCTCGGAGGTTTACATTGGACTGACTAAAACATGCATGATACAGACAATTTACAGATACAATCAAACAGATGAAAGTAATAATTATCAGAGATGAAGATAAGAGTGAAGGAATTCTAAAGTCTGTTTAAACTCTTGAAACTCCAGCAGGGGTCATTAATTGACCTTATCTGGCACACTACAACATTAACTGGTCATCGGCTGGTCACTACGCCTAGTGTCCTGACAGTATGAAATTTATATGACACGGTACTGGCTAACATCAGACACCCTAAAATTGTACGATGAGCCGGAACACTAATTAAACTCGCCACTCACTTGGTGTCATTATTTCACTCTTAACACAGTGGTAAAATAACAATGATAATTAAAAAAAGGAGAAATAATTAATGATATAAAAACCCCAAAGTTTTCATTATAAGCAGAAAGGTGGATTTTGTCCTATATTTAGTTTGTTGGACAAGACATCAGTCAGATTAATTGACTGGCGAAAATATGCTTGTACATGAGTGTTAACATCAGCTTTAGTGTGAACAGATTGCAAGAGGGCCTCAGGAAACTAAGGCAATGAATTACATCTTGACAAGCTGTGCATGTTGTTGATGTGACTTTCAGTCATCATCTTTTTATGTCGGACCTTTTGCAGTAGGCCTAAATTTAGTCTACACTCGCCAGTCCGCTCTACCTAATACCTTCACCTTCATTCAAGATTGTAACATCAAATGAATAAATAATCACCAAGTAATTGTCATATGTTGTGTTGGTGTTTAAAGTCACCTGTATTTCTAATACTGTTATCTTAATTTTCAAGTTCACTGATCTTCATTTTGGTCATAAAAAAATCCTTAAATATTTAATGATATGGGTTACAAGTTAGTTGTATCAATTAGAATGCTTTTTAATTAATTTGATGTTACATAGGTCTGATGCACAGAAATAAAAAAAATAATATGACAAAAGAATAAAGTAATGATGCTGATGATATGGAGGAAGACTGGTATATATTGATTGAGACAGAAGGACAATTTTTGATAGAAAGATATTGGTGAGTCTGTATTTATATATAGGAGACAGATTGGAGCCGTCTGGGAAACAAGAGATTACAGAAAGCTCTCAAATTCCTCC